GTTGGATGGGTTCCCCATGGAGCCAGACTCTGGGTTCAAAAGCCATCTATTCAGTAAATCACTGTATATCATGGACAAGACACTTCAACTTCTCCATGCCTCTTTTTAGTTGATGGGGTGTTGTGCAGATTAAATCATATAAAACTCTTAATGTCTGGTACAGAAGTGGGGGGGGGGTCTTCTTTCACTGATGCAGAATCCAAGCTGACTCCTTGCTGACCGTCTTTTGGGTCTCCACATGGGAAACGACCGCCCATCTTTACCCTCGGAGCTACTGTTGGATTTGAACCACCAGAGCAGCACAGCCTTTGGATAAGCAATGCAACTCCCTACAGACTAGGCTACCAGACCCGTTGTAAATATCTGCTGGCTCTTTGTCTCCTGGTGGAACATGATATAACTGCTTTCAAAATTATATGTCATTTTATATAGAATGATTACGATAAACACATAAAGAACTTAATGAGTTCCAGATCCTACTCTGAGGACTTTGCACATAACCAATTCAAGCAAAGATCTGATACGATCATTTTCCAACATTCTACAAGTTTGGTGTGCTCACAGTTCAATTTCCATGCTTTTTTCCCCTCAGCAGAAATGCTGCTTATAGCCTGATCGTACGCACAAGTGCCACCCAGTGCTACTAGTCAACTGTTTCAAGAAAGGTGAAATAAACATCTTCTCACCTGGTAGACTGTCCCTAAAAATCCAAAAGACACTGCTGCTGTGTCTGTTTCAACACACAGTGACCCTTAACACAGGCAGAAGGGCCTCACAGGATTTTCAAGACTAAATCTCTACAAAAACAGACTGTTGCATTTCCATCAGTTGGAAAGTTTGAACTGCTGGCCTTCCCAAAAGCAGCCACTAAACCAACCACCAAGCCTCCTCCCGGTAGGCTTGAGCAAAGCAAGAAAAGTAACACAGGCTAGATCTGCATCAGGAGGCCTCACAGCCGCACCCTTTATCTCAGGTTTGAGAATTGTGTGGAAAGGGTGGAGGCTATTATACTGTCCTCTAAAGTCTCCGAAGACATTCTGGTTTTACAAAGACCAAATCTACACTTTAATCATCACTGAGCAAATTCGTATCCATCCCGGAATAGGAATGTCACTAAAAAAAGCAGTTTAGGAACTGCAAAATGGTGTGATTCTCTATTTTCTGCCTAACAGTTAAAACTTACATTCTGAAAATGCAACCTTTTGATCATGCAAAATTATTTCCCAGTGTCAACTGATCATCTGTCTTATATTAACTGGAGAGCATTATACTGAGTGAAGTAACCCAGTCCCATAAGGATAATTATTGTATAAAACCGTTATTGTAGAATGAGTATAAGGATCCAGGAGGGGTGGGAGAGGCTAGAAGCAGAGGGATGTGGATGGGCAGGGGGAATGGGGGATTAATCACTGGGTTGTACAATTTGATGGGGGGGGGGGGGTGAGGGAAATTGAAAAGAATTTGTTCAAATTTGTATTTGAATTTTATAAATAAACTAGTAGAAAAAGTTTTTTAAAAATGCTTATCACCTTAATCAACTACCTTAAATTATGTTTAACACTGAAAAGAAGAAACGCAAGGTTTTTTTATTCTGCTTGCTCTTTTATTTAAAAATAACTGTGATTTACATGCTGGCAGCGCAGGTCCACTTTAACAGCACACACGGAACTCTCCGGAGCATGAAGAGTTAAACGGGCAAAACCCGGCCTTTTTCTTTCTGGTCCTCTCTCTGTAAAGTTAATCTACTCACTCTAAGCAAAGGAAAATGAGTTAGAGTGCAATTACAGGGTACTCAAGATCTGAGAGCTTTCTACATGTGTTCCAAACACAACCTTATAAAAATGGGTTGGTCCCACACCTTAATTACACCAAATCTTTCTCATATCCAAGCATTTTCATTTTTAAAAGCGAAGGTTTCTCATTTTATCTTCTGTAATAAAGCGCTCCACTGGAAGTCTCCCCACCAAATGAGGATGTACCCCAGCAGGATGCTGGCGGAATCCATTCCAAGGAAAGCAACCTTTTCTTAACGCTGACTCTAAACTGTGGCACAGCGTTACCAGAAAGGCACGAAGTTTCCATAGCGGGTACCAATCCCCAGAACTGTACGCATCCCTTCAACATCCTTGCAGCTAATCCTCACTCCAAGCCGCTTGCCTGAGTTAAATTCCATTTCCCCCTCATACCACTCAGGCAGGTCAATGGCAACAGCACGTGTGCCAAAGGAAATTAGTGGTTTTACTTACACTTGCATTTCAAAGGGGTACCTATGTGCAATTAAATCTCTGTAACAGAGAAAAAAGTTCACCTGAGGCCATTCCTGCCATGTTAATAGAGGCCTGGCTTAGGCTACCTGTCTCTGTGGTCTTGCCTGGCTCTGACAGCAATACCTCCAAAGCAGCTGGATGAGCCCCAAACACCAGCAGGCTGGACCCGCTGCCAACTCTCGTTGTCACTCCGGGCATGAAGCGCAACCTAACGTGTATACGTTTGTCGGGGTGTTTGCATGTGTGTTACGCAGAGTGGAGCAAGGATTAGCGCAGAGAGAGAGAGAGAGAGAGAGAACAACATTTTCAACTTGCAACATTTTTTTTTTTTTTTACGGGGATAAAAATCAAAGCAAAACCATCCCTCCCTCCCTCCCTCCTTCGGGTTGCCGAGCGCGGGAACCTCCCATCCGAGCGGAGCGCACCTGGAGGGCTCGGGGATCCCGCGTCACCAAAGCTTCAGCCAGGATTCAGGGGGTTTGGGAAGCACTCGCAGCCCTCCCCCGGGAAGCCAGCGGTCAGCCGCGGGGAGTGGGCCCACCCGCCAGCCCCCTGCCCGCGCTCGGCCGCCCCCCGCAGGTACCTGCCCCGCTCCCACCCCGCCCCGCCCGGGCCCGAGAGGGGGTTCCCCGAGGGCCTCCGGGGCAGCCAATGGGAAGTCCCCGCGGCCCCGCACGGCGCCGCACTCCCCACCCCGGCAAGACCCCCCGGGAGGGACCCCGCAGCCCCCGGCCGCGCGAGCGCCGCGGTCCCCACCGGGCGGAAGGCGGGCGCCGGCGCCACCTCGCCCTCGGGATTACCTCGCCGTGCGCAGCGGGCTTTGTGTCGCCCTCCGTCCTCGACCGCGGCCGCCCGGGCTGCAGCGGCCGCCGATCCGCCGCCGCCGCCGCCGCCTCGCAAGCGCCGCACAGCTCCGGAGGGGAGGGCCGAGAAAGGGGCGTGAGGAGGGAGGGGCCTGGGCGCCGAGCCCCGGGTGGCAGGAAGCGGCGACACCAGGGTCACCGAGGCCCCTCGAGCTCCCCTTCTCCCTTTTAAAATTACAACTTAAACTCTTTTCCTTGCCCGCCCGCCCCTCACCCCGGCGACCGTTAAGCACTGGCGGCTCGCGCGCTGGCGGGACTGGTCGAACGCCCCCGGTGCGTCCTCTAGCCCCGCCCACGCCCCGCCTCCAGGTCACTAGCTCCGCCCCATATGCCCCGCCGGGTGCCCCCTGGTCCCGCCCTCCCGGTCCCCCACCCCTGGCCCCGCCCCGCGCAGTCCCCGAAAGCCTCAGGCCCCGCCTCCTCCAGGCGCGGCCCCGCGCGCCCCTCTGGAGCCCGGCCCCGCCTCCCGGCGCCCCCTCGCCGCTCGCGAGCACGTAGTCGGGAGGCCGCGGCCGCGGGGGCCCCCGGCTGACCCTTCCCGGAGGAGGCCCCGGGCGGCCCGGGCGCCCGCACCGCTGAGCCGCCCGCATCCACGGCGGCCCCTGAGGGCTGGAGGGGGACACGACCCCGACGGAACCCGAACGCGAGGGAAGGAGGGCGCCCCGGCACTCTCCACCGGCGGACCCGCGCGAGCTCCGCGCCCGCGGCTGAGCCGCCGCCTTCCGCGTCTGCGCCCGCCGCCCCCACGGGCCGCCCGCTCTGCAGAGGGCGACCGACCGCGGCTGGGGCTCGGCCTCCGCACGCCCCCTGGTGAGGGGTGGGCCAGATCGTCGTGTCCGCGCTGCGGCCGGTGCGGACGCCGCCTCCGCAGCTCACCTCCACCGGGGCGGGGGGCACGGGAGGGGGTGCTCCTCCAGCCCGACCCCACGAGCGCCCGTCGAGCGCCCCCACCCCGGGGCCCCGCCTCGTGACCTTCTGAGAGCTGACCTCCCGGAGGTGAAAAGTCGAGGCACCGCCGGCTGCAGCCGTCAAGCGCGATGATCGGGCCAAACTTTGCGACGCGAAATTGCCGGGGGTCCCGATCCAGCCACAGGTGACAGCGGGCCGCCCGCCCCCCGCACCCCAGCCCTGCACACCTTTCCCCGCCGCCCGCGGCTTGCACGTCCCGCCTGCACACATGTCCTCCACGGGCACAGATCGTCCCCCACCCCCGCCAGCGGCACACCCCTCCCAGCGCCGTGCTGGTTATTCACGGTCCCCCGGGTGAACCCCACCCGAGCACACGCAGCAAACTTCATTCCCCACCCCGATCGCCGCTCGTTTCCAAGGCCCCAGTGACGGTCCACTTCCCTTCCTCCTCCGCAGACTCCCCTTCCCCCTCAAATACCTCCCGCCATCCCCCTCATCTCCTCCCTCTACCCTAAAAAATGTGTTAATTAAAATGTAGTTTCCTCTTCCCACATACGAAGTGTGAAAAGTGAATCTTGTCTTGGCACACACTGGGATTCGTTTATCCATGTTCCCTCTCTCCACTGGACTGAAGCTGTAAGAATTTTAGTCTACCACCATCTCTCCCTTCTGCTCAAGCCTGACCATGCCTTATGGTGGTTTGGTTTTTGTTTTTGTTTTCTTTAAGAAAGAAAGAAAACCTCTAAAAATCGTGAGGAAGGGTTCCTGGCTTTAGGAGGGGAACTATCTTGAAAATGTACAGCCTGTCATTTTATTTGGCGTTTTAAAATAGCTGCAGTATTTGAGAGAGAGAGACTGGGAGTGGCTGAATGTTTTATTGCATTTAAAAAATAAGGGCAAAATAATTAAAAGCTTTGCATGCATCAGGGTTTGCCTTTTTTTTTTTTTTTTAAGGAAAAACAGAGGGAGAAAAGTATGCTGAGGACACGTCAAATAATAGTCTCCACGGTACAGGACATTTGCCAGTTACAAACGTAAACCCCTCTCAAAGAAGCCAAATGAACATAATCCATTTTAAGCATGTCTGATGACAGACCTTTTCCATGAGCATTCCTCTTCCCACAATTTCTGCACAAAATGGATAAAAGATCTGCTTACCGTTGAGGATCCAAGGCTTGATCTTGTCCGGGTAGTAGTAGCCTCGTGTGTGAGTGTGTGTGTGTGTGTGTGTGTGTGTGTGTGTGTGTGTGTGTGTGTGTTCCGTCTGTAGGTGTGGATTCTGCAGTGCTGCACAGAAACCCACTGCAGCCTCAGACCAGCAGCAGCACCAGCAGCTTCTTCCAACGCTGGGTAGTAAAGTGTGTGACTTCCTAGAGACTCTTACAATTACCATTAGGCGCTGGCTTACAAGGGAGGAGGCGGAATCTTTCTTAAAGGAAAGGATTTTGTTTTTCCTCTCCACTATTGCTTCATAAGAAGCAGAAAGGGTGGAGGTAGTTGGGGGTGGGGGAAGAGGAGGGGTTGGACTGAGTAGAGCAGTGCAGCTGTGGGAGGTCAAGGTTAGAATGAACTGGGTGATGGAGGGACTGATTTAGTGGGAGTCAATGAAATGCTAGAAGCAGTTTTTCTGGAGAGACAGCTGACTTCAAACATTGGGATGCGTGGCAAAAATAGTGTTTCTTGAAACTAAGCAGTATTTTGTGTTAATAGTCAGTTTCCAAAACATTGCACTGAAACACTAACTATAGGATGCTTTTTAGTATGTAGTACAAGAATGAAAAAGAATAATAAATACTGATTTATGAACCTGGGGACACTGGAGCCAAGTCCAGCTAACAACTATATGTATACCTAGAATTTCAATGAATGTCAGTATTTCTATATAAAGTGGGTTTTTTAAACAAAACACCCCACACCAAATATTAAGTATATGAAAACCAAAAAAGTAACATCTAAAATCATTTTGGGAAATATTAGCAGAGTACTTTTGCTATTTCAGTGGCAAAAATTTAACAAAATCAAGAATTTCCCTTAGATTAGCTTACTTCAACGTATGTGTAAACTAGCTTACTTCAATGTATGTGTAAACTATTAGAGTGTGAGAAGATTCATAAAGAGCTTGAGAGTCTGCATTGGAAATTTATAAATTTTCTTTTTAATATTATACCTTGATTTAAATACTAAACATCTGTGATGCCCTTTTTTTATAGGTTAAAAAAGAGGCATTTTCTCAAAATATAGAGAAAAATAAAGGAGAAATCCTGCCATTCACTTACTTTCTTTTTTATTATTTTTTAACTTCCTCTTAGCAAGTAACTACTCTTTTCTGATCCCTAGTTCCCCATTTTATAAAATGAAGAATTTAGATTAAAATTTTCCAGGGTCCTTTAGCATTCCAAAACATTCTAATTTTATGACACTGTGTACTTTTGTTTTTAATGCAAGCATATCTCACTCTAAATGACTTTTCCTGAGAACTTAGACTAAAAGTAAATCCTTATTTTAAAGATATAACCAGAAAATAATTATCACAAAACAAAATTTTATAAAGTGAATAAATAAACTGAATTATGATAAGATTTTGACCAGTTTTGCAGAAGCAGGACCTTACTCTATGGATAAGGTTTCTAATTTACTGGAGTGCTAGAATGTATGCTGAATGAAACAAAAACGTTTTAAAAGTAGAGCATCATGGTATAGTGGGACAGTTTTTTGTTGTGTTTTTCTATTTTTGATTGGCATAGTGACTTTAATAAAGTGAAACATACCTGAGATCATGAGTATGGCACAGAACAGGACAATCTTCAGATTTGTTTATAAGGTGACTAGGAATCAAAATTGATTTGAAGTGGGACAATTTTTAAAGCTAATCTACTGTAATTTTACAAGGAAAATAAAATGGACCGAAACAAGCAAATGAAAGCAGAATTAAGAGAGCTGGGTTAACTTAAGTTTCCTCCCTAAAGTCTCATACACAAGGCGAGTAATACATATAAGAACAATATGCCCTTTTTTGCATACCACACTAGTTGCCAAGCATGGCTTATCACAATAGTAACAACAGAAAGGTACTGCCATTGAATAGTGTATTTGTGTACATGTGGTGGTGTGGTCCTTTCACGTCAAGTACACATCAGGAACCCTAGGAAAAATAGATTTGAATCCTGTCCTCTGCTGGGCCTTCCTCATCATTTCTGACCAGTCCGCCCATTCCAGCAGTTACTGGTGTCAATCCATCCTATTGAGGGCCTTCCTCTCTTTTGCATAATGTCCTCCAAGGAATAGCCTTTCCTAGCAATGTGCCCTAAGTTTAGGAGATGAAGCTTTGTCATCTTGGCCTCCAGTGAGTCCTCTGTCTGTGCTTGCTCCAAGACATAGGTTTGTTCTTTTGGCAGTGTTGACAGAGGCTGTCAAGCTGATCGCAGCTCATTGACTTGACTCCATGAGTCATGGTAAGTTTTCTTGCCTGTAAGCTTTATCAAAGCAAATTGCCAGCTCTCACCCCTGCCGAGGCACTGGCTGGGTTTAAATGTCCAATCTTTGAATGAGCAGCAAGTACTGACCTGTTTGTGCCATCAGTGTATATGGAACCTAAACCCACTGCCATGTCTAGATTCCAACTCACAGCAACCCTATACTCAGAAAGTCTTAAGTTCATTCACATAGAGTTGGAACTGACTCACATGGGAGGATTGTCGATATTTCTTCTGAGGAGCAACTGGTGGATTCGAACCCACAGTGAGACTCAGGCTTTGTGTTAGAACTGTAACTCCCTCCAGAGCTCACTAGCAACCCCTTTATTACTATCCATTCATAACCTCCAGTAGGATTTTAGAGGCTCTGAGAAGGAAATGGTCAGTGCTTTTCCCTTACCAGAACTCCCTAGAGACTCTGTTGTTATGTACCATTGAGTTGGAACTGACTCATAGCTGGATTCTCCAGCGATTTTTCAGAGGTGGTTAATTGCAAGAGAGGAGGACCATGTTCCTGACTGCTAGACCACCAGAGCTCCCCAGTGACCCTACAGGACAGAGTGAAACTCTCCAGCTCCCCAGCCTCTGTGTTTCTAAGGCTATAAATCTTTGCAGATGTTAACTGTCACATCCAAAAGAGGATCTGGTGTTATGTGCTATGGAGTCAGGGCCAACCCATGGCTGTTTGCAGAGACTGTAAATAGCTCACGAAGAGATGATCCAGTGAAGACAATGCTGTGCAGTGACCGGTTGGATTCAAACTGCATGCCTACGGCTTGACAGTGGGGCTCCTTATCATTAGGCCACCAGAGCTCACAGAGAGTCCAGTTGGTTTGAATTGCAGATCCTTTTGTTTGTAGCCAAGTGCTTAATCACTGAAACACCAGG